ATAAATGTCTCCGGAGAATTATGAAATCTCATTGGTTTATTATAAATACCAAATTCATAAAGAATTACCAATTGAACCTTTCGACCATATCAAAAATCTAATCACAAATTTCCTTCTCCAATCTCTCAGCGTCACCTTGCACTAATACATTCAAATTAGGTACATAAAAACAAAATTGCCATACGTTCACGATATCTAAAAGAAATGTTCCGCCCACGGTGAACATTTAATGAACTCGCAAATTAAAATTATAAATAAAATTAACTGAATTATTAAAATCAAAATTACTTAGCGCATGGATGAAAGTCACCGACATAAATGTGGAACAGGAATAATAGAGATATGAAGGGAAACGAAAAAGAAGAAAGCTTGCGAACAAAGCAACAGAGAAAACGTAAATAAAACAAAAATATCAATAGTAATAAAAATTCAAAAACGTTTTAATAAATGTCCAAATGAAATTTCATAGACAAATTTAATTATCTCGTATGTCAACAAAAATCATCGTATACGTCTTGTAAGACATAAATATCACCAACTTTGGAATCCATTAAATTTTAAAAGTGAAACAGCAATGTCTGTCTATGACAAATATTGTACAATAAAAACGTGGATTAAAAAAGTTAAGAAAAGATTTCTCCGCGCTAGAGAAACAGTTGACACTATTATGAACTAATGAAGACATGCTAACACAAATACAAAGCGTTACAGCTTACTCATAGCCGAAAAAACTAGTGGTGCTACAACAACAAATACATTATTGCAATAATATGTTATAGTTGTGTACGACGAGGTGCCCATATATGCTTCATTCATTTCAAACAGAAGTTACGCGAAAACTACTAACTTTTACAAACAATTGTTCATGACCTTTTTTAAAGAGCTTATTTTGTACAACATACATTGCCTGAGGTAAAGATCTATTTCTTCAATTCTGTAGCTTTTTTTCTATTTTCGAAAAATAGTAGATTTTAACGAAAATGACATCTGCAACATTCTCTTGAACGTCTTTTGCATTTTTTAAAAACTTTTTTGAAAATGTCGAGGGGTCTTCAAGTAAAGTATCTCCAAAAATTATAATATTGATTTCAAATTTCAGGGGCCGCGACATCATGCAGAACTAGGGTGGGGGAAGGGGGGAATGGAAAAATGGTTTATGCGCTAGCGTTGTGCGCAGGACAGACGTACGGACGAACAGACAGACAGACGTTTTGCCACCAATGTATTGTTTGTGTATGAAGACCACACAAAACATGGATTCTGGGTACACAAAATGTTGATCCACTTTTTTGTTACCAGGGCACTGCAATACGAGTTTTTGTGTCGAAAATTCCGTGTTCCGGCGCACGATCTCAATACATTCTCTTCTTAGGTTAGTAAGTGCGAGAAAGTAAAAAGTAAATTCACCTACTATATACGAGCAACGCGGCTTGCTGGTGAATGGCAACTATAAGCATAGGTCATTATAAATGCCGATTGCAATACACTGAACATAATATTCCGAAAAGTTTGCAATCGAAGCAAAGAGGAAAAGTAAATAAAACCAAAGTATTAACAGACAGAAATATGACGAAGTTCTAATAAATGTTCAGATGAACATATTTCGTTGGTAAATTTTATAATAGTGCATATAAACCACACACATTTCACTTTCACTTACTCGTAATGGGCATGACTGCTAATCCCGGATAGTGTGAAGTCTCTAAGAAAGTTTTGTCACTTACTAACTTCTAGAAATGGTTATCAATGTTTCGACATCCTAGTGCATTTTACTATAAACGTTACTGAACAACATTTTTAGGAAATAAACATATGGTTAATTTATATTATTTGATGGGTTTGGAAGTAAATTCATCACCAAACCGAAAAGTTACTTCAAGATGGGAACTGTAAAGCATCCAGAAATCTCGCGTTCTCTATATATAATACGCTTCAATATGAAGAAAAGGAATTGGGTAAATAGTAGTAGTAGAGAAAAAAAGTCTTACGACTATTTTGTAGTACTAAAATATCAGGCATTACCCGAGATATTTTTATATCGAAACATTGGTGGAGGAGTGAAAGAGGAAAAATTTCCATATTATATGAACAACAGTGTTTAAGATTATCATTTTTAATATAATTGGTACAGAAAAGCTGCACTGCTACTGGCCATTAGCAAACTAGTACCAAATACCTGTCAGACTACCCTAGTGGCCTCTGGCGGAATTTATTCGAAAACACCTATTAGTGTCAGTTCTGCCACGGTATACGATTATGGTTTTGTCGCACTATTGCTGGACTCTGGCGGAATATTAGTATACATTAGTATACACTATTTTACTATTATTATACTATACTTAAAGTACTAAAAAAACGGGTACACACACACTAGTGGTACATATATATATATATATATATATATATATATATATATATATATATATATACCACTAGTTTTATTGTTACGGAAAGATACAATTTTTCAAGTTTCCAAACTCGAACCGTCAATTTTGATAGTTGTCGCCAAAAAAAACAACAGTAGAAAGTTCTCTTCACAGTAGCCGTTCACCAGAAGAAGTCCCAAGTTTTAGGCAGAATCCCAATATCTTGAACCCAGGGGCGCAAACTATAACGGCATTGTTAACGATGTCACTCAATTGAGGCACGCACGACCGAACTAGTTACCAAATGTCTTGACTCATGTCCCAATTCTTTTCCTCTGCAGGCCTGTGATGACTTATAGAGATATTACTATAAGACAGGACCACATTAACAGCTACTGCTTAACCAACAGTTAGCTGTAAATGGCTCCATCACTATTCCTTGCAATGCCATCACTTTTTAGGACGTTCATTTGCTTCTCGAACTGACAAACTTCTCTTCTTAGAGAAACTCCTCTACACCAGGATCTGGCCTCGCAGCTCCCGCGGCTCCTTTCCGAGATGGTGAGCCCCTTAAACGCCCACTGACATGCCCCGTGGGGATGACGGCGCAAAGGTGTGAGGTTGGAAACGGCCACCCGGACCCTACATTCTCGGCGGTACTCACGTCTATAGCGCCAAGGTGGGTGCAGTACGGAGGTGATGCTCTTCGTTACTCAGACTCGACCTGTAACCCACCAATTAGGTCCCTACGCGCCGGCCGTTGGAGCAGGATTGGGCGCGGGACATCCACTCTAACCCAGATAAAGACGTCTGGCAAAGAACTCGAACATCTCGCCCGGTTCGACTAGATATCGGCGATACTCACGTCGATAGCGTCAAGGTGGAAGCAGTCAGGAGACGGATGAAGCTTCCTGGACTTCGGGCAGAGTGGCCCCAAGTTAGGCCCTTCGCCTTGTCGTGGCAGGAGACACTCTCAGGTTATTGAGTAGAGATTCGTCCCGGTGCAATGTGAGTGGCGCTTAATTAGACTCCGGGACTGGCCCGGGCAGCGCACAGCTCTGTGCTGGAAGAGTGGCGCTACCTGCGCTTGTAATTGGGGAGGCGCCCCGGCGACTCCGGATGACAGCCCAAAGGTGGACTTCTTGGCTCGCGAGATGTGGGGATTAAGAGACCCAGAGCTTAGTGCATATCCTGGGAAGTAAAATCCTGGTTTGTGTTGCTGATGTCTAAATATGAAGGTATACATCTTTAGTGTATTGAGTGAATAGTTGTTTTTCGCGCCTAACCTTTGTCTATAAATGTTTATTAACATTTTCCTAAAATAAAACCAGAATCATATAACTTCTTCAGAATGTTTCGATTTATTATTGTTAATCCTTTGATTGAGCTTTGAATACGCCAATTGCTTTGCTGTTTCTCTCAGTTTCGAATTATCCACGTCACATTATTTCATCCACTCCCACATTACTTCACTGACTTTTGTCGCGCTCTGCTTCACCACATCGCTGATAAGCTCCAAAAAATATATAGTACAAAAAGGCAAAATATGAACCTAAATATGTAATGAAAACGATAAGAATATGTAACATATGTAAAAAGGGATATAATATAAAAAACGTTCAAATTTATAAGACATTTACAAACAAAATAAATGTATACTATTTGAAATTGCATTAATAAATTGTTTATTATACCATTTTTTTAAAAAATTGGTTGTCCTACTGCATTATATTTTTAAGAGTAAATTTGTATATTTGAGAGGAAAGTTGACAAACGTGGGAACTCACTGATAGGCAAACACTGTATCACTGTCTTCGTGATGCTACATGTCTGTGACAATCAATATCACTCCTTAATTGGGATTAAAGATCAAGAAACACGACCTGTCGATTCTGTCTACTCCTAAATATAATATACTCAGAGACCGGTGAACTTGTTGCAGCATTTATGCAGTGCAGAAAAGTGACTACGTTTTGATGAGGGAGGGCACCCCACGTCTTCCGCATGCAATTCTGAATATGTGTAAGAAAAAATGTAAATTTCTTAATAAAAAAACACCTTTTTAAATGCTTTGGCAAAATAAGTTTCAATAAAATTAAGACCGCAATGAAAAAAACATGTATTATACATAGTGTACTATATTACTTTTTTTTCATTACTGTTATGTAACAAAAGAATTGAATAGTGTATAACATACTACCATTCTTTCGTTACATATATTTACAAAATATGCTATATTAAATTTTTTTTCATAACGGTTTCAAGACCATAATTTTGAGATCTGTATGAATATAGAAGGAGGAAAGATGTAATATACAAATCCAGACTCTCCTGATGAGTGGCTTTCACAGGCTTTCAAGCCAAGCCAGGCGCCGACCGGCTGCCCCTGCCCCTCCCCCCCGGGAGTATCTTCGGCCGGTGACAGTCGAGCTCGACGCGTCTCACAACTTTTCGAATAAACGTCGCCAAGTTCGGCGCGCGCGAGCGGACGGAGCGGAGGCAGGAAGTTGCTGTCAACACGTGTGAGGGTGTCCCCTCCCCTCCCCTCCCCTCCCCCACCGGCGCTGACACCCTCGCCTCCCACCCCACCGCGCGCTTTGCAGGGCTGCCGATATACCCTGTCCGCGCATCGCCTGCCTTCCGGGGGCTCTTGTCGCTTTTTACGAGATGCAGTTTGTAACGCGCGCCACATGCCATTCGCCACCCAACTGATGCTGACGTCGGCCAGCACTAACTCATATTACTCAATGAATACCGTACAGAATACTACTTGTCATCTTCGAACACTGTGAGTACTACTGCATACCACTGACATTACTTGGTGCTTGGTGCCCACCAGTACCCAAACGACTTTGAAAATTAAAACACTGAATGTAACCCACAACTTATGTTTATTGAACTTAACTAACACCATATTTACATAAACATACAAAACAGTCACCTTTTAATGTTAGATTCGCATGCAACACTTGATTCGCATACAAAACAATTAATAGAGCAATTGCAGAAATAGAAGTGAACACAAATTAAATTGAATTTGTAAATCTATATTAGACTGCGTTTTGATCTCTTTAAAAATTAGGGGAGAAAATAGGTAAATGTTAAGGAAATCAGGGGAGAATCAAATGCAATAATGAAAGATTCGGAACTAATTGAGAATGATCTGCATTTTTGCATTTAGCATTTGTGCTAAAGCAAATGTGCTACGTGCATCTTAGCAAATTAGCGCAGAAAACGTAGCTGTACTAAACTTGAACTATTAGCATCATCAAAAAAAACTACAAGTAATTGTTATGGCGATTATAATTATGAAATTTCAAAGAGGCCCGCTCATATCCCGTATGAAGATTCGCATGACTCCTACTACGATTTATTGGTAAGTCCAATGCCAGATACTAAGAGAATACATTTGAACAATTCTAGGCATGAAAGAAATCAAGTATGAAGGAAATTTTCAACACATGAAACTATTTTTAAAACAGTTTACAGCGTTGGCGACGCCACATTTTACTAGACAGTATGTAGTTGTACGAAGACGCCGAAAAATATTTTGAATTTTTGAACAGAGTTTTCAACCAACATGAGACCTTGGCATTCTTTTAAACTGTATTTACACAATCCTACAACAAAATTTAATCAAAATGATGGCGCGATGTTCTTGAAAATTTTGAAAATGTTCTCGGGGCTTCAAGTTAAGTATCTCCCAAATTATAATCAGTTTCAAATTCAAGAAGCCGCAACAGCATTCAGATCGATTGGGAAATATCAAGTTTGGAGAAAATTGGCTGAAATGTTAAGCCGCTAGCGTTGTTCACAGAGAGACGGACGGGCAGACGTTTTGCCGACAATCGATTTTTCGGCATCAAGGACCCACAAAACAGGGATTCTGGCTTCACCACGTGTTAAAGGATTGTTTTTCTAAATTCAGCAACTGGATTTATTTACTTTTTAGTTATCAGGACATACTTCTTCTGGCGAAAATTCACTGAATTTTCGCGCAGCATTACTTAACTTTATCTTCCTAAGATGTTCCTTCTTGAGCGCGAAAAAGTAAAAATGTTTTCTCTTATGATTTATTTTCTTTATTTTAGATAGGCTATCATTCTGTCTTAAAATAATAGTTTTTATTATTGTTGGCCCTGTTCATTGTTCACCATAGTCTGTGATTTCCAGACATTTGATTCTACAGTAACTCTACATATTTAAAATATTTCACTACAATCTTTATAAACATCAAGAACTCCTGAAATAGGTTCTTCACTTTTATTCTCTTTGACATCACACCTGATTTTTTCTGTTTTGGATGCCTCTTTCACAATATTTGTGATTCTCTAAAGAAATACTCCGCGTCGATTAATTCTTCACGTTTGCCAGGATTGACATATTGGATGAGCTCAAACGATTTTCTCTGTAGTAGTTCCGTCCTTTTCTTTCTCTAAAAATGCTTCAAAAATCACTTACAACGCCGTCTGCCGGCAAACTATTGGAATTTGCGATTCTGGGGTGAAGTATTTTTTCCTGGAAGTTGTATCTCCTGTGTTCGAAAATCCGATGCGGACAGTTCACTAACTTGGAAACATGAAAGTCGGGATCACTTTTTTGGGTTCACTATATCCAGAATGTAATGTGTATTGTTCATATCTCTTTTATTATCGAATAATTTTACACTGTGAAAATTAGATTGTGTACAAAGATTATGTAAAATTATCCAAGTCCCTTTGAAAATTTACATTTTTAATACATATTTTTATTCTTCTTTAATTCACCTGGCTTTGTTTTGCCAACGTTAAAAGAAATGCACGACGAATATGAATGCACTTTCGTTATTGTAGCTAAGCAGTTCAGGCCTTACGGCATCCAATTCCGAATCCCCCTTCGTAGGCACTCATTCCACTCTGCGTATCCGGGCTGAGAGCGGGGTCGGCGAGCTCGAACCTCAGGAAGACCTGGTGTACGAAATAGCCCCGGGCCCTCGTTTAACTTGTCTCTGTTTATCTTGTAGAGTTGAGAGCATCCTACTGTAGTTACGAGTAATAATAAATGTAATGGGAGGGATCGTTTAAATTGGTCGAACCGCAAAATATTTCGTTTCGTGCGCCCAGCTCAACCCTGAGTACCTCTAGCGCCGGTAGGCACGTCATGCCACCTGTCATACTTCCAAACAAACACAGGCAGGGGTCGGCGGTTGCGACCGCCCGGGCAGCCGGTAATGACGTAGAGGGCGGGGCGGAGTGGCGCCGTCAGGGAAGTTGCATCGCGGGTGGGCGGGGCGACGCACGTGTGACGTCATTCACGAGTGGCGCCCGCGGTCGCGCCCCGAGCGGTGGCGAACGGAACTTTATTAATCACCGTGGACGACAGGAGAAGGGTCTGCGTGTGGGACCGGATGGCATCGACGTGTCGGTTTCTTCGAGGGATGAGCAATAAAGGCAATTGTATAAAACACACAGAGACAATTTTACAGTTTTCGTACTGCTGTGTTTGACAAGACGCGTCATCTTGTTCGTGTCATGCCTGTAGGCATTACGAAGGCATGTCCCCTTCTTCGTGGGTATCAGGCTTTAAAACGTTGTCGACCCGTGTGGAAGATGTAGAAGAAAGAAAAATAAAATGTATCTAAAATAATTATGCCTGAACAAACTTTATCTTATTTAAAAGTGTTTAAGTTAGAGATAAACTGATTAAGTCAAGTAATAAACGATTGAGGTGTCCACATTGTAAATG